ATAGAGCACTGATTAGAGTATTTTGTAGCATTTAATTTTGGAAGAAATATTTTCCGAGCAGTTTTTTTGATAAAAATTTGCACAGATATACGCTGTATTCACGCCCAGATAATATCGCGTACGACACGCCCAATGTGCAAAAACTCTATCCTTTTGTTAATAATACTTTGTTTTTTTTCTTTAATTACGGGATAGGCTTTGGAAAATGGATTGCATATATCGAGAAGTTTGTGTTTTATTTCGTGAAAACACGATGCATCGAGTGCATCGATCGATGGCGTATGTTATTTTTGGCGTCGCTCTCTGATATTTGGCGGCATCCAGTTCTTGTTTCGAGATAAAAACATAGCAAAACGATGAAAAACCCTGTCAAGAATGCATCATCAGTCCCCTCCCCTCTCCCGAAAAAAAATTCCCAAACGCGGGCAATCTATCGCGCGGCGTTCCGCAAACGCGTTAACAGTTTCGTGCGATAGATACGAACGACGCGCGCGCGCGTACAATTTTCGAGCGAGCTTTCGCTTAACGAGTTCGAGGACAGGTAAGATTTACGAGAAAAATGCTTGTCAGCGCGGGGATGGAATTTATGAAAACTCTCGTTTCGCCCCGTCGGTCGGCACCGTCGCCCCCGGCCCCCTCTCGCCCACCCCCGATGCCCCCGTTCTCACCGCCCTTTTTCTTTCCGACGCACTCCTTCCTCCTTATTTCTCGTCCATCCATTTCCCTCGCGCGGAACTTGGTACGTCGCTGTATCCAGAAAGTACATCGACTCGCGATGTACTTTTTGCGATACATTAAGGCGTATATTTTACGGGACGTGCGTATAACGCGACGGCGTACCGCGGATGCGCCGCCATCGACTCAGGAATACGAAGTCGCGAAGACACGCGAATAACGTTAAGGGTGCGAGCGGGTGACTGATGCGACTCCCGGGGTCGCCTCTCATCCCGGCCAGGGGTTATCAACCCCTTTCCGTTAAATTACACTTAACTCGATCTTATATGGCCGACAATGGCGCCGTTATTTCCATTCGATAAAAAGTCGCGCGATGACAAATAGCGTCGTCGCGCAGCGCGCATCGACATATTTAATTTGCAGGTGCTGCGCGACGTAATTGAGCGAGCACCACTCGACTAACGCGGGAGGGTAAAAATCACTTTAGCCACTGCAAACGTATTTTAGACGATAACTGTATAATGTTGCAATTAGCGAAATTACAGAAACGCACATGTGTTTCCAATTCTTTTATCATTTTCTTAATTTCTTCCCTATTTAAATATTTTTAGCCATCTCGAGCCGTAAAGGCCGAATCAGACTAGCAATTGCTCGGATTAGATTGGGATTGGCGATTGGCGATTGTCCTCTAGCCAGGATTGGGAATTAACTCGTTACTCGTAACGAAGTTACAGTTACTTTTTTCTGGTAACTCTAACTTCACTTCGTTACTTTCTCTCCATCTGTAACCGTAACTTAACTCAGTTACATTAATAGTTACTTTATATATTTCTTAAACCTCTACAGCGTATTAGGCCTGGCATTTTGCGCATAAACGCCTTTATCGACGCTTTACAATTCAAATGCAGATTTGATGCTTTTATTTTCATTGCAAGAAAGTAACTGTGAAGTAAAGATTCGTTATTTTTTGAGTAACTGTAACTAGTTACATTTTTAACGAAAAAACTGTAACTGTATGACTAGATACTTTTATAAGGTAACTTTGTCAACCCTGCTTCTAGCCAATGAGAGTCGATTAAGTTGTTGGCTGCTTTGCTCTCATTGGCTGCTTTACTCTCATTGGCTAGAAGACAGTCGCCAATCGCCATCCCAACGGGAATACTGGAGTGATTCTGTATTTTTGGCACCTTTTGCTCCTAGAACTGTCAATTCATGAAAACATTTGTGTAATACACGAATTATAAAACTTGTGCGTACAAATCAAAAGTGTTCCACTATTCGGACTAAATCAAAGAACAGCATGGTATCATTGAAATTAAGTTTAAAAGTAAAAAAAGAAATCTATTCCCTCGAATAAGTTACAGGTTGCATTCGAGTGAATTGATTTTTTGTTAGGCTTCTAAATTTAATTTCAATGATACCATGCTGTTCTTTCACTTAATCTGAATAGTAGAACACTATTGGTCTGTACACAAAAGCAACATAATTCGTGTATTACACAAATGTTTTCATGAATTGACAATTATAGGAGTAAAAGGTGCCAAAAGTGCAAAATCATTCCAGCATCCCCTTAAAGTAAGCAGTAGTAGAAACTGTTAACGACACTCGGGACAATTTGCACTGTATTCTAAATAAATTTATCATCGCCGCGCCGCGCCGACGTTACGGGTAATATCACCGTTTCAATCGTAACCACGATAATAGGCAAACTTTCCTTCCCGGCGCAAAAACACTAAAAATACACACCGTTATTCCTCCCATCTAATTACAATAATAATAGCCGCGTAACGGCCCGCCTCGATGCCGCACGAATTTACATAAACGTCCGGCATACTTCATTATCGCGGCTATCGATCGTGGAAACGACCGGGATAGGAATCGGGCCGACTCATTCGGGGTGGATCTCATTTAGATTCCCATTCTCGATCGTCCCCGCGACTTTCGGAGCCAGCTTTATCAGCGATGGACCGGCAACCACGCGTGCCACCGGCGCGGCGCGGTTCGAACGCGATTTCCGGAACGAACGCATCTCGCCCGGATCGAACGGGGGTTCCCTCATCCGTGGCGTTTTCTTCGCGGCAATTTCTAGCGAGACTGTGCGCGCACCCCGTTCGTTCGTGTATGTACGTACACGGCAAATGCCGAGACGCATGCGGATGCCGTCAGTATGCAAACGTATCCATAATACATAAAACGCGCGGCAGCGCGAGACACGTGCACATCGCACGATTGTTGGCGTGTGTCCCGTGTACACGCAGTGGCGCGTATGCACGCAGCGGCGCGTCTAATGTACACTTTTCACGTCGCGGCAAAGTGCGGCGGGCACCGTAAAGATAGTCCGGGGGAAGTGCACGCCGGTATTACGTGACGTGCCGCTCGATAATGATACCGTCGTCGCGCGGTAAAAACAAAGCGAGCGTTGTACAAACGCATTCGCATACACGTGCGTGTACGCGCACGAGGGTACGCGGGGGAGGGGGGCGAAAGGGAGCGCCTGCATAAAGCGGGCTGTATAAGCGAAGGTAAAGATAATGAGAGGCATCGCGCGCTTTAGCGAGACTCCGCATGCTGAAAATTATTCGTTCGCCTTTGCGTTATCGCTCCGCCTCGACTTCCTCGGAGGGAGATTATTAATATATTTCGGAAGTTTCCGCCTCGATGTGATGACCGAGAACGTTCTCGCTACTCAATTAGACTTGGCTGCGAAGAAAAATATGCGGGAAGATGGCCGCGATAGGGAACAGGCTTTTCAGGCGCGCGATTCAAGCGCGAATTTATATCGCAATTAACATACTCTATCTAGAATTGGTGGCGAACCGCTGTGAGATTGCGCGGCATCCGTTTTTAACGTCCAACGCGTCGTCTACGATGCGTGGAGTAAGCCTGGCGCAAGGCGTAAAAGAGAAGCATAACTTTTAGCTTTCGATGTAAGGAAGCTGAAATACAGGCATAATTTTTAAAATATTTGCAACACTGGCTGATGGCGTTCTGATTCGCCGAGAGTAAGCGTGAGAGCTGAAGTAGGAGTAAGAAATAAAATTGATCCTTACTCCTACTCCTTACCCTACGCTTAACTTCACGCATCGTAGACAATCCATTATACGTACAGATCGTGGATTTTAAAAGTAGTACGGCCATGTCTTTTAAACGCCAGCAGTCACGTTCGCGAGTCGGACAAATGTCGTTTCCGAACTAACGAATACTGTACCTTGCATAGACCGTCAATCGAGAATTTTTATCAAAACGCAAATGGACATTTGTAGTAAATTGTCACAACGTTATGCCTACAAAGAGATCTTTAACATTTTACGTTTACACCAGCAAGATCGTAGATTAACGTTGATCTACGGATCTTTAAAGTGGCGCGCGTGCACGTGTCGAATGCGACAGTAGTCGCAGCGACGCGCGGTCAGACACGCAACGTACTTCCGACCCGTGCCGTCCCCTCCTGAATTATAAACAACGAAGGGACGTAACGCCAATAATATCCGTATAAGCTGATTCCCTCGTCTCGTATGCTCGATTATCGTCGACGTTATCGTATTTCTCGCGGCTGTATCGCGCAAAGTGCCGCACGAGAAACGAGATCGTCATCGGGGACATCCACTTGCGCGCATATCTGGCGAAAGTTTTACGGACTTTTTATCGGTGTCATAGTCAAAATCGAAAGACGATATAACGTCGAGCGGATCGTCGAGCGCCGAGCCGGACGAAGTAGCGCGGGCAGGGTTTACGGCAGCCGCGGCCGGTTATGAACGCGCGTACGATCGGGTACGAAGTGCGCTTCGTTGAGTGCGAGCGAGCCGAGGGGGGCCAGGTGTGCTCTCGGCAAACGAGATGGATGTGCTGGATGTTCGCGTATCGCGTGACCACTCGATCAACGCCGCCGCGAGTTGACAGTGACTTACGCACCCGGGCACTCAACGAGATATGACATGCGCTACTGGTCGCGCGCCACCGATGGGGCGGCCCCCATTGTTACCCTACCTGTGTACCCGCCAAACACCCTTAATCTTTCTATCTTTCATAGCCTTTGTCATCGTTCGATCGCTCACGTACCCCATATTTCTCCCCTCCCCCCGCGCCGCGCTCCCCACCCGCCTTTATCGGCCCGCTTCCCGTCTCGCGAGTAAAGTGCAACGTTCGTTGCTCGCCGCGATAATGTCGTTCATTTCACGCGGCGGTACTTTTTGCAATATAGCCGCATTCTAAAACCCCGGCTCGGGCCTTCGGGGACACGCGTCGCGCCGGCGACGTCGTCCCCGGCGAACGAACGACGATATATAAAGCCCGATCGCGGTGATTGACAGGCGGTGGTTACTTACCGGAATCCAGAACCGTGTATCGTGGATTTGACGTGTCGATAGGCAGCATATCTCGCACCCAGGAGATGATGGGCGTCGGGGATCCGACTGCGGTGCAAAGGAGGACCGCGTTGTGACCCATCTCGACTACTTTCGTCGTCGGCGCTTGAGTGATCATTGGAAAACCCATCGGCAAATTCTCCGCTGTAATCACAAAAAAGGCGTCTTTAAATTATCGGATATTACGTTTAAAAGTCTGAGGTAGTTGGTACATTATGCAGTAAGAGGCGCTGATAATATTCCAGAGAGAAAAGACGAGAGTTGATGCATCTTTTAAGAAAGTTCCGTGAGGAGCGAATATATGATAATCGTAACGAGGCAACGTGCCCGGCGTAATGCAATTTATTAATCAATACAATATTTCAAAAAAAAGATGATCTGACTGGAAATTTTAATAATAAGCACGTGTTTTACAAGCACGTATTATTATTTGAAGCCGTTGCCTACTTTTACGAACTTACTACTTGCAAGAGCGCCGCATTAATTTTCCTCGAGAGCGAGGTAATACGATTTTTAATAATTTAAGACGAGGCGCGAGAGAGTTGAGCGAGTTCATTGAGCTCGTCATATGCTCACATGAGCTTAATTGTATTTGTTCGAGCTTTCATATGTGCAGGCAGTGTGTGTTTGCGCACACTGAGTGTAATCGATCAAAAATTTTTGACTGCTTCATCCGTTATTCATCTACAAGATGTATGATCTTCTTAGATATCAGAATAATGAAATAATGACATATATAGCGTACACGTATGTGGATTAGATATACGGAGGTAATATTTAGTTCGGAAATACTGCGCGTAGCGAAAACGTCAAAATATTCGACGTGTACACGTCTTTTACATTGATACGAGGCAAACTTCGGTGGCTCGTCAATTATATATCGGACGTGTCGTAGAGTAGATCCGGATAGCCCTCCGTGGATCGTAGACGGGCATCCGGCGACTGGTCTCGCGGGACCGAAAGTTAGGAAAAGCCACTGGAACTGGTCGGCCACGCCGTTCCCATTTCCCATCGCGGAAAACAGATCTTCCGTCCCTCGGAAGGCAGCCCGCTGATATGGATAGATGCGCCGGAATGCCGATGCAATCAGGAATGGAATCGCAGAATTCAATATACCGTGCGGAAGATCTTTTGAAAGGATCTGCCAAAAGGATCAAACAAATCGCACGATTCTCGTTTGCCGGTTTCGTTTTTCTTGGACGCCGCATAATTGGAATAAATATCTCGGAGATTTTTAATTCGCTATTAGTTCTCAATTTTTCTTCGTACATTTCCGTTTCTCGGTTTACAAACTAGACTAGATATGTAATAGGACCGTTCGATAAACTCGTTGTAACAACGAGCGAAAAACACATAAAACTATTTCAAGTGGATGGATATTTGCCAAAACGTTATAGATATCAGAGAAAAACAGTATATTTTGAGAAGAACGAAGCAACATTTATTAAGTGGTATCTACGACGATGGTTTAAGCTCCACGGGTATAATAGGCCGGCCGTACGTTCGCCAAGAGTCTGATCGATACCCAATTAAAAGATATGTTCGACAGAGATTGAGCGCGTCAAAGGAACGATGCACAAGTCGTGCGTGAAGTTCAGCTTCGAGCAAGAAGATTAATTCGACCTGTTTCGAGGTACACGTGATCCGACCCACATCGCTCCCGTTCTTCATGTAATTACGACGGCGCTACATTAATCCTTGGGGTGAACTCGTAGTTAAATCTAAGTTGGCGACGCGGCGTACGAAGTTCCGAACAACTCTCGCGATTGTCCTGTTTCCGTTTCGACGGTGCTCGTACGACAGGGATGAAGACAATTTACTTGAATCGATTTAATAACGACGTCTCGATACTGATTGCTTACTTGAAGCAGAGAATTTATTTTGCAGAAAGTGTGAAATTAAAGACCGTGTAAAGAAGATACACGATAAAATACAGTTTAGACAAATTATACAATACGTATAAAAAGGAGTCTTCTATTTTCTAAATTCTTGCTTCTCTGCTTTTTTTCGAGTCATTTTTTACGTATTTTCATTTTATGTTTAAAGTGTAAAATTTCTCCTGCAGACGAAGCTTTTTATTATGCATCGTTGTTAAAATAAATTAAGATTTAAATCACGCTAAAAATTTAATGTAAAGTTTCCCATTTCGCAACATACGAATTATAATTTATAAAGAAGATGGCTCTGTAATTTTTACAAATTTAACTATCTGAGATTAAAGTTACTGGCGAACTTGAGACTTATTACAAGGCCCACAAACTGGGTGAAAGTTCGCCGTAAGGGCGCGATCAAACTGCAATTACCATCGACGCCTCGGGGTGGCTCTTAGAAAGTCCATCTTTCACAGTCTCGTCAATTACAAGAGCAATCGGAACTCGCGGACGAAGTTAGTGGTCGGCAAGTACTTTCGCGTATTCTGATCTACTCGTCTCTATTCGCGAACACATTTTAAACCAATGAACCTGTTGGAGCTTGGTAAGCCAGTCGTTCACTAACGTAAAGATATATTTGAAGATTAGCACAATTGCGTCCAGTCGTTTCGTGTCTTTTCTTCTCTTTTACAATATTGACATAGTCTTTAGTTGTTAACGTTATCCGAGCAGTCTGTGTTCAGACAGACAGCGGATAAAGGAAAACTTAAATAAATTTCTCTCAATTGTTTCATCATTTTCTTCCATTTGTTCATTTAATTCTTCTAGGGACAATTTTCGTTCGATCATTTCTAAATAATCTGTTTGAAATAGAATCAGTGTAAACAAGCTTTTTTGCTTAAAAATATTTGTAAATGTAATTAATCAAAGTTTGTATTTTTAACATTGACGGCGTTATTAGATTAAATCGATTTCCCCGGTTTTAGAATCTATATTTATTAAAGGAGATAATAACACACGTATATCTGTAGGGAGATAAATTAAAAAAATCATTTAACGCGATCTGATTTCGAGTTATCGTTAAATCGATCAAGTGCATAAATTATAATAGCTCATTTTACCTGTGAAATTAACAATTCTACTTTTACTGTGAACTGAGAGGAGAATTTAATTACCTCATTATATGATTTTTTCGTTCCAACATAACGAGACATTTAGCTGGATCATTTTTTTAACGTAAATCATGATGGCATCGATGCCATCATGTGCATTACCATACATGTATCGAATTCATGTTAATAGAAGATGCACGAGATGCACGGTCCAATCGAGGAATTGCTGCACTCTCTCTCTCTCTCGCGTATATCGCGCAGAGGTAAAACCATCGCAAATAGGTCAAGCAATTTACCGACTATTTGCTGTCCCAGTCGCAACTATTGTGCATTAAGGAACTCGAAGCTGTTACACAAGTCGTGTCGCTCTTTCTTTCTTTCATTTCTCGGCAGAATCTGTCAAATTCAACGGGATTCGCGTGCTATTAACGCGCGAGAGGGAGGCCGATAGGGGAGAGCGATGGTTCGATGCTCGACAACCCCCAGGATTTTCTCAGAGTCTTCCTCTCCCCATTGTCTTCTTCCACGGCGCCGCTTCTTTGTCCTCGTTATCGTCCGAGTTATCCGACGCGCGACTGCGCCAATTATATCGGCGGCCGAGAGAGCGCTTCGCGGCCGACAATAGAAATCGCCTGCAGACTTTCCGCGTGGCCCCCATAGCCATTTCCACCCTCTTTCTCCTTTTCCTCCCGCTATATCCTCTTTCCTCCGCGCGGTTTTCCACCGGCGACAACAAACAATACAAGCACCCGACGTCGACCGCGGCGCAACGACAACAAAGTCGTCGGCAAAGCTATTGTCCCCGCCTGGCGATCCGGCTACCGCGCCTTCCTCGTGTCCGAGGTCGCGCGACGACTATTGTACGACCGGAGAACGAGCACGACTACTACGACGACGACGACGACGACGACGACGACGACGACGACAACGACGACGACAGCGAAGACGACGACCGCCGCTGTCGCCTTTTTCGCGGAAGACGTGATTTTGTGGGAATTTGTCTTTCTTCCCGGCCCTCGTCCTCTTTACGGCGTTCTTTCATTCCTGGTTCCCCTCCTTTATTTGCGATTTCTCGCTCTGCACACCACTTGGCTATGCACGCAAATGCGCGCGCGTAAAAGCGCGAATATGATGGACCGAGCGCACGTGGACGAGTTATTGTCGGGGATGAACGCCTTCTTTTTTACAATTTCCTTTTACGACGTTTTGCACCGGTTCTCTTTCTCTCTTTCTCTCTCGCTCCCGCTTTATCTCTGTTCGCACATAGAGTTTTTTTACCGTTACATTTAGATTTATGTTTGCCGCAACGCGATCGTAAGATCAGAGTTTCGCGCGAGAAGAGATTTTTCTTTCCAGAGATTCTTACCCGGCACAAGACGTAAGACACAAGATTAAGTTACAGACTGTGTACTTACTCTGTTAACTTTGTAGCGAGGTGACGAAAAATATATCGAGTATATTGTATACTTTTCCCACATTGCTCGTAAATACGCGTAATCCTATACCCGTGAGGCGATTAAAGACAAATCCAACGGTGGTATTCTCTAGCGCGTCTTAATGTCTGACTCTGTAATGACATTCTCTACTGTCGTCATTTGTCGCTTAATTTCCGTGCGACGGAAGGGATCTTTAACATTTATGATTAATGCACTTTATAATGACGGCAACTGTAAAGTATCGCTGAGGGGTGACGCTGTTATTTGGCTAAGGTAGTTCTTATTTGGGTAAAATGGCGATAAAAATTTCGATAGTAGAACTATCGTCGTTGTGAAAATGGGTGGGATTACTACTTCAACTCGAAGGCGGATGTATGAAGAACATTGAGGCATCGTAACGATTTGTCCCCTTCCGTGCTCTCACTCTCGCATCCTCGGTCTTCCGTCTTATCGTATCATCCAGCGGGCTCGCGTTTCGTGTCGTCCGAGTGAAACATAATGGAGAGAAATCAATAGAATGATCGGTTTCAAATAGCTCGTTTCACCCCACGTCCCCTCCAGTTCTGCTCGTACGTGGAGGATCGTTTTATCGTTACTTTCGACATCACTCACTCGCGTCGCGATCGTAAGATTTTAGGGTATACAGGGCATACGAAAAAGGGAGAGAAAAAAAGATACCGCGTTCTCTCTCTTGTTCGAGGACGCTTCCGTGAAGAGGCGGTCGG